TGGGTCCTATAAATCCTGTCCAGGGATTTGTTTTCTGAGATTAAATAATAATAATACAAAACTCCTTTGCATATAAGTGTAGTGCTGCATTCCCATAATCCCAGCTCTCAGGAGGCTAAAAAAGGAGTATGAAGAGTTTGGAGTCAGCCTGAGATACATCGCAATTTTCTCTATCCAAAAATAGCCCTAAAACTACTCTCCTAAATGCTCTTATAGTCTCTCTCCCTCTCCCTCTCTCTCTGTTTTGTTTTTTGAGACAGGGTTTCTGTGTGTAATAGCCCTGGTTATCCTGGAACTCAATTTGTAGACCAGGCTGGACTCGAACTTACAGAGATCTGCCTGCCTCTGCCTCCTGAATACTGGGATTAAAGGCGTCTTCTTCATTTTAACTCCTACACTGTGTAGTAGCCACCTTTTCCTCTCTTCTGAAGACTTCTGGCTTTGGACGTCCTGGAAATGAAAGCTCTTTTTCAAGCCCTGAATTTCCTTTATCATTAGCATATTGGTAGTGTTGGGTTAGCCTTTTGGTAAAGTGCTCAATGTCTACATGTATTAACATCTGACTTTAAACATTCATGTAGTCACGTATTGGTAATAAAAGAAACCAGCTGTCCCAGGCATGGTTCATAACACCTTCCACTTAGTTAGGAAGCTGTTCTCCATCTCCGTATGTTAGTGATTGTATTGTTAGTGGTTTTTTGTTTCATTTTGAGGGTCCCTTCCAGTGTTCATGACTTATAAAACAGTGGTGGTCAGAACTGGAGAACTTGCCTTTATTCCCAGATCTCTTTGATGACCTCTTAATACTTCCAAAGAAATAATTATCCAGAATCCTGTTACTGAGGTTTTGTGGTATGGTTTCCAAAATAATGTACAGTAGACCAACCTACAGTTTACAGTACGTAGAGAATGAATTCTGTTAAACTTGGGTATGTTTAACTTGTAAATTACAACTTAATAAAACTTGCCTTTGGCTCTAAAGATATTTATCTCTGGCCAACTTTATATACAACTTTTGAATTGCCTTTGTTGTTACTTTTTTTTTTTTTTAGTAGGTTTGTTTTGTTTTGCTTTGTTTTTTGATAGTGCTGGGTATTGAACCCAGAACCTTTACCATGCTACACAAGCGCTGTACTGATGAACTACATCTCTGACCCTCATGTTTTTTAGACATTTTCTTACTATCTCAATCTTAGCATCTCAAATGGCCATGAAGTCAAGGGTGGCCTTGTGTTCTTTATTCTCCTTCCATTTCTCATGTACTGGGAAAATAGACATGTGTTACCATACCTGGCCTTGGTTTTGCTTAAAAGATAAATTTCTTTCTTTTCTTCTGTCAAAGGAGGTTTTCTTTTTTCTTTTTGAGACAAGATCTCTTTATTACGTCACTCCACCTGTCCTGAACTCCTTCTGTAGACCAGGCTGGCCTCAAATCCTCAAATCCACAAATCCACCTGCCTCTGCCTTAGTGCTGGGATTAAGGGCATGACCACGTACCCAGTGGGAGGTTTGCTTTAAAGTTTATGGAAAACAGTTCTCTTCTTTTAGCTTAGTTTACTTTGCAATTTAACCTATCCCAGATTATTAAATTATGAATTGTATAGTCCAGCCAATAGTATCTTAGGATGACTCAAATGTTTACAAGAGTCTAGACTGTCCCCTGCATGTCACATAGACCCTGTTTAAAAAAAAAAAAAAAAAATCAAAAGGGCTGGAGAGATGGCTCAGAGGTTAAGAGCACTGTCTGCTCTTCTAGAGGTCCTGAGTTCAATTGCCAGCAACCACATGGCAGCTCACAACTGTCTATAACTCCACCTACAGGGGATATGACACCTTTGCATAGAAATACATGCAGGCAAAATACCAATAAAGTAAAAATAACCATTAAACCATTAAAAAAAAAGAACACTGTATACATAATGAACAGATCTTTAAAAAATTGAAAAAACTTAATGCAGATATTTATTTTCTCAGGTATGAAATTATATCATTTCAGAGATCCTGTTAATCAAGTGATCATGGAATAAAATTTTATAAAATGTTTGCAGTCTTGATTTTATTAGTTTTATTACAAATCAAAGCTTAATTCATTTTAGATTATTGGTGTATCAAAAACAGCAGATCCTGGGTTAGAGCTTACACTAACACTAGTTTAAATACTACTCAGGTAGGTCATGCTTTGTGTGTGGTTTTTAAACTTACTTTTTGGTGGGTGTATTGGTGCTCAGGACTGAATTTAAGAACATTAAAGATAAGCCCAAGCTGGGCAATGGTGGCATATATCTTTAATCCCAGCATTTGGGAGACAGAGGCAGGTGGATCTCTGAGTTCAAGGCCAGCCTGGTCTATAGAGCAAGTTCCAGGACAGGCAGAGCTATATAGAGAAACCCTGTCTTGAAGAAAAAGAAAACAAAAACTAATGAAGTATTTAGAGTATAATTATCTTCATTGTTTTCCTTCCGCATTGGACATTAAGCTTGTGCATTATTAGACAAGCACTCTCCACCCACTCTTCTAATGAATACCCCCTTCATCCTTTTGCTATTTTTTTGTTTGTTTGTTTGTTTTTTTCTCCCCAAAAACAAGGTTTCTCTGGCTTTGGAGGCTGTCCTGGAACTAGCTCTTGTAGACCAGGCTGGTCTCGAACTCACAGAGATCCGCCTGCCTCTGCCTCCCAAATGCTGGAACTAAAGGCGTGTGCCACCAATGCTTGACTCTTAGCTGTTTTTTGTTTGTTTGTTTGTTTATGTTTTGTTTTTTAATTTTATTTTTGGTGTGAGGGTGTTTTGTCTGCATGTATGTCTGCACCACATTACAGTGCTTGTGGAGGCCAGAAGAGGGCATCAGATACCCTGGAACTGGACTTGCAGCTGGTTGTGAGCTACCAGTTGGCGGTTGGAAATCTAACCCAAGGTCCTCTGGAAGAGCAGCCAAGTACTCTTAGCCATTGAGCCATCTCTCCAGCCACCTGCCCCATGCTGTTTTCTAAACTAATTCTTATTTGTGTATTGCCATTCTTTGTATCTCAGGGATCCGATGCAGTACAACATGTGCACTCTCAACTGAGCTGTGGGCAGATATTCCCTGTAGTAGTATAATGTTGGTTGGTAGTAAACAAGAATTGTCCATGCCTTTCTCTTTCTTAGTTGAGATATTGAAACTCAAATTGCTTAAGTGATTTTTCCACAATTTCTTTTTTTTTTTGTTTTGTTTTGTTTTTGTTTTTGTTTTTTCAAGACAGGGTTTCTCTGTGTAGCTTTGGAGCCTATCCTGGCAATCACTCTGGAGACAAGACTGGCCTCAAACTCACAGAGATCCGCCTGCCTCTGCCTCCCTGGGTGCTGGGATTAAAGGTGTGTGTCGCCAACGCCTGGCTCCACAATTTCATTTGGGAATATAGTGAAACTTTTTAGTTTTATGTAGATTTACTTGGATGGTCTAAATTAGTAATTTTCTCTTTTTCTTGCAAAGAATAAAAAAATTTTCTACCTTGAACTCCAATGTGTAAAATATAGTCAAGAGGACCCAGTTCTAAAGCCCTGTTCATTTAGCTTGAATTATTTTGTCTGTGTGCATCTTTAATTTTTTTAATCCCTGGGAGCTTTGGCCCAGGTCTTTGCCACTTGGCTTAAGTAAGCATTCCATACTACTGAGCTGTGTCCCTACCTTGTTTTTTTAAAAAAGAAACCTTCCTTGTTTCTTTAGTTTATGATTGTACAGATTGACTGGTATATTTACTTATAATATTTTGTCAAACCTAGCAGTAGAGCTAGCATGGTTCCCACATATAAATCCTAGCATTTGGGTTGGAGAGATGGCTCAGGGCCTAAGAACCGCTGACTGCTCTTTCAGAGGACCCAGGTTCAATTCCCAGCACCCACATAGCAGCTCACAAATGTCTATAACTCCAGTTCTGGGGGACCCGATGTCCATGGAAAAACACCAATGAACATAAAACTTAAAAGATTGATTGATTGATTGATTGATTGATTGATTGATTGATAGATTGATTCAAGCATTCAGGAATCCAGGGCAGAAAGATCCAGGCCAGTTTGGGCTACGTAGACCTTCTGAAATTGGAGTTAGAGGTGGTTGTGGCCCACCATGCAGGTTTGAGAATTCAAACCCAGGTCCTCAGAAAGAACATCCAGAGCTCTTAACTGCTGAGCCATCTCCAGACCTCTAAAGTGCTTGTTCAGCATGCAAAAGATCCAGAGTTTTCACTCCCAGTATTTTGGGTAAGGAGGTACTAACAAATAGCAGTACTAGGCAAAATTTTCAAAAGTGCTAATAGGGACTGGAGAGGTACCTCTGCAGTTTAGAACACTGGCTGTTCTTCTGAAGGACCTGGGTTTGATTCCCAGCACCTGCATGGTGGTTCACAATCATCTGTAATTCTGGTTCCAGGGGATCTGATTCCCTCTTCTGGCCTCTAAAGGCATCAGATGGAAACCTATACACACACTTGCAAGCAGAACACCTAGAAACATAAAATAATTTTTTAAAGTGGATAAAAAGCAATGAAGACTTCTTGGTTTTATGTTTTTGAGACACAGTCTCACATTATAGTCGAGGCAGACCTGGAACTCAAACATGTAGCAGCTCATGCAGGCCTTGAACTCATGGCAGTTCTCCTGCCTCAGCCTCTGGAGAGCTGACATCGTAGGTGTCAGTGACCATTCCAGGCTTCAGAATGGTAAAGTCACCACTTGTGCTTCAGAGTACAAAAGACATTGTAGAAATAGGTATGCTTTGTATTTCTGTACCCCTGCTGGACAGTTTAAAGTTCCGGAAGTGGCTTAAGAGTTATTTGAAGTGTTAAAATATTCCTAAACGTGCAGTTATTAAAAGAATCCTTGGAGTTTATGAAATCGCGAGTGTATATATGAAAGAAATGTTACTACTAAACAGTTTGTAGGTGATGATTGGTTGGATTTTAGAAAGCCATGAATCTGAGCTTTCATATCATGAATGTGACTTGATTTTCTTTCATTTGATAGGAAAGAGCTCTTTTTCTGAAGAAAAAGGTGAATCTGATGATGAGAAGCCGAGGAAAGGAGAAAGACGATCGTCCAGGGTTAGACAGGTAATCCAGTCCTACGTCACAGTTGCTGCTCCCTGTAATACTCTGGGTACTGCTGCCATCCTGGGCTCTTCTAGAGGTGGTATCTCTAGATTTCTGGGTAGCCATCTTTCTAATGTTACTCTTCGTTGTTTTGGTTTTTTGAGATAGGGTTTCCCTGTGTAACTTTGGAACCTATCTTGTAGACCAGGCTGGTCTCAAACTCACAGAGATCTGCCTGCCTCTGCCTCCCAAGAGCTGGGATCAAAGGTGTGCCCCACCACCACCCAGCTTCTAATGTTACTCTTGCTTTATTTTTTAGATGTGCTCTGGCCTTGAAACTTCTGAGCAAATACGTACATTTTTAACTTAGTTTTTGAGACGGGTTGCTGTTCGATTTTCCCAAGTGTTGGAGTTAGAGATATGTGCTACTATGCATGCCTAACATGAACGTACTGATAAGTGGATTTCAAAAACTTAAATGTGGGCGGGCGTTGGTGGCGCACGCCTTTAATCCCAGCACTTGGGAGGCAGAGGCAGGTGGATCTCTGTGAGTTCGAGAACAGCCTGGTCTACAGAGTGAGTTCCAGGACAGCCTCCAAAGCCACAGAGAAACCCTGTCTCGAAAAACCAAAAAAAAAAAAAACACTTAAATGTGAGGACTCAGTGAGTAAAGGTGTCTGATAACCTGATTTCAGTCTCTGAGACCCTCAGAGTAGAAAGAATAACCAACTCCCATCAAGTTGTCCTCTTCAACTCCACACACATAAATAAATATAATTTTTAAAAATTAAAAAAATTTAAATATTTTTAGTTAATTGGCTGAACTGTATTCTTAAATGTATAATAAGACAAGGTATGACAATTATTCATTTAAAACTATATGAGTGCATTAATTATAGCTAATAAATACATAGAGCAGTTGAAAAAATACATGATGTTAAGGAAGAACACTGGGAAAGTATAGGCATAGTGTAATTGACTGTGCAAAAATATGACAGTGGAGGGCAGTGACATACTTGTAATTTCAGCACTTGGAGACAGAGGCAGTTGCTCTGAGTTTGAGGCTACCCTGAGTAACATAATGAGACCCTATCTCAAAAGAAAGAGAAGGACAATTGGAAGCTGGATGTGATATTGCATCTCAAAGGAAAAAGAAAAGAAAAGGTCAGAGTGATAAATACTAAATTACAATAGGTTAGTTCTCTTCTCTGCTTTCTAGATATTCTGTCCAGATGTTAAAAGTTTAAAAAGGGTCTAGAGAGAAATGGCTCAATGATTAAGAGCACTGGTTGTTCTTATAGAGGACCTGGGTTCAAATCCCAGCACGCACACACACATATGGTGGTTACAACCATCCTTAACTCCAGTTCTAGGGGATCAAACACCTTCTGTCTTCTTCAAGTACCAGGCACATACATGGAGTAACTGTATACATGTGAGCAAAATATTCATACACATAGAAGAAACCTTCAGAAAAATTTAAATCTAGGAGCTGGGAGTTGGTGGCAAACGCCTTTAATCCCAGCACTTGGGAGGCAGAGGCAGGTGGATCTCTGTGAGTTCGAGGCCAGCCTGGTCTACAGAGCGAGTGCCAGGATAGGCTCCAAAGCAATACAGAGAAACCCTGTGTCAGAAAAAAAAAAAAAAAAAAAATCTAGGGATGGGTGGTGGTGGCGCATGCCTTTGATCCCAGCACTCAGGAGGCAGAAGCAGGTAGATCTCTGTGAGTTCAAGGCTACCCTGGTCTGCGGAGTGAGTTCCAGGACAAACCTGTCTCAAAAACCAAAATAAAAGCTGGGGCTGGAGAGACGGCTTAGCAGTTAAGAGCCCTGTCTGCTGTTCCAGAGGAGTAGAGTTCTAGCTACCCACGTGATAGTCCACAAACATCTGTGGCATTAGTTCCCAGGAGTTGAATGCCCTCTGCTGGCACTTATACTCACACAGATAATATACTCTTACATGAATAAATAATAAATCTTTTTAGAATGCATAAAAAGAGATTGAAAGCTAAAAAACAAGCCAGAAGCAGATTCATTTTCCTGCTCCTTTTGTTTCCTCTACTGTGATTTCCTAAAGAGCCCATGTCAGCAGTGGTTGCTCTCTGTCTCATCTGCTTCTGTGTACCTGAAACTGTCACTCAATTTCTCTCTCCTAAGAGTACCTTAAGAGATGATCTTTTCCATCTGTTCACTGTGAACAAGTACATTTGAGGCCATTGTATATCTTTTCTTTTAGGCAAGAGCAGCTAAACTTTCTGAGTACAGCCAGGCTGCTGAGGAGGAAGAGGATCAAGAAACACCATCTAGAAACCTGAGGGTCAGAGTAGATCGAAATTTAAAAATGGAGGAGGAAGAAGAAGAAGAGGAAGAAGATGATGATGATGAAGAAGAGGAGGAAGAGGTAGATGAGGGACAAAAATCTGGAGAAGCAGAGGCGCCAGTCCTGAAACAGTTTGAGGATGAAGAAGGGGAAGAGACACTCAGAGCAAAACCAGAAAAGGTGGTAGAGGAGAAACCCCAAGTCATAGCATCCCAGGAAAAGGATGGGTTAGAGAAAGGAGGGCGAGTTACAAGATCCCAGGAAGAAGCTAGAAGAAGTCACCTGGCCAAACAGCAGCAAGAGAAAGACACACAAGAAGTTTCTCTCCTTCAGGAGGCAAATGAAGGAAAGTCTTCACAAAGCTTGGAGGAAAGATCACAGTCTCCTTCCCCACCTTCACTCTCTGAAGACCTAGAGAAGGCCCCTGTTGTGGTACAGCCAGAGCAAATAGTCAGTGAAGAGGAAACTCCCCCACCTTTACTTACCAAGGAAGCTTCATCTCCTCCAACTCATATACAACTCCAGGATGAGGAAGAGATAGAGCCAGTGGAAGGCCCAGCACCCCCTGTCCTCATTCAGTTATCGCCTCGTAATACAGATCCTGAAAGTCGGGAGCTGGTGACGTCTCCGCATCCTGTCCAGTTAGTAAGGGGGCTGTCTCCTTTGTCAAGTACTCTAGACACCAAAGCAGAATCTCCAGCAGAGAGAATGTCAGATGAGAGTGCCCTGCCTCTGGCTCAGAAAAGCATACCGTCTGAATACTCAGCCCAGAAAGGTCTTGAAACTGAGCCTGAAAAATCTGCTCACTCCCTCCCTCCAAAGGTAGAGGAATTAGCACCCACCAAAGGGACCACTGAGGAACCTGTGAAAAAGCAGTCTTTGGAACAGAAGGAGGGCAGAAGAGCTTCCCACACTCTTTTCCCAGACCATAGTTTGAAACAGTCAGCCGATTCTTCCTCTAGCCGGTCCTCCTCACCTTCATCCTCGAGCTCTAGATCCAGATCTCGCTCTCCTGACAGTTCAGCGTCTCACCCACAGTCATCTCCAAGATCTAAACAGAAAGATGTATCCCAAGCTCGAGTTCACACCAACCCTCATGGTAGACCCAAGATGGACTCCAGGTCAACATCAGAGTCCAGGTCACAGTCCCGATCCCGTTCCCGTTCAGCATCAAGCAGCAGCAGAAAAGTGAGTATAGAGAATCCCGTCTCTACCCTAATAGAGTAGACTAACCTGTAACAACCTCTGACAGGAATAGAGGAGTCCTCCTTTAGTCTCCACTGTTTACCTTCCCTTCATTACAGTGCATTGGTCATTAGGACCCTGTCCATTCTGAACCCTTTTGATTATACAGCATAAGTCTCTGGATGGAACTTAGTAAATTTGTTGAATAAGAAGTTGGAGATCGAAGGGCAGTGATGGTGCACGCCTTTAATACCAGCACTTGGGAGGCAGAGGCAGGTGGATCTCTGAGTTCGAGGCCAGTCTGGTCTGTAAGATGAGTTCTAGGACAAGCCAGGCCAGTCTCTCAAAAACAAACAAACAAACAAACAAACAAACAAAAACAAAAATGTAGTAATTGGAGATCATTCACTTAAATGGGAGTAGACACACGAGACAAAAAGATTTAGAGGAAGGGCAAGTATTTGTAACCCATGACTGACTGTATTAACACATAGGAAGTAGAGGCTAAAGCAGGAGTTAAAGGTCATCCTAGGCTATCTATCAAACTCAGTGTCTCTTTATCAAAAAATAAAAATAAAAAAGTCTCAGAGTATGGATTAGGTGAGCAAAAGCTGGAGAAGTCATTGGTCTCTTGAATATACACCATCCATTCATATTCATCTCCCCCAAATATTTGCCTTATAAAGTAATTTTCCTTTATGTTTCATTTTGTGTTTTTAGTCTCTGAGCCCTGGAGTCTCCAGAGACAGCAACACCAGCTACACTGAAACCAAAGATCCCTCTTGTGGTCAGGAGGCTGCAGTTCCACCAGTGCCACAGCTGCAGGTCCTTGAACCAAAGGAGAAGACTCCCACGTCCTCAGCCCCTGTCCGGGGAAGGCATCTGAGCCAGACTGAGCCAGAGCAAAAGCATGTGATCCAGAGGTTGCAGCCTGAGCAGGTAGGCTGTTACAGCCCCTTAGGCCTCATTTCCCCATTGTTTAGTGTTTTTGAGACAGCATCCTGATTTATAGCCCAGGACAGCCTCAAACTCAAGGACCTGCCTTGGCCTTCCAGGTGGGTGCCATTGCACCCAGCACATTTGTCTTCAGAGAGTTCCAGGACAGCTAGAGCCACATCACAGAGAGGACCCTGTCTCTTGTAGCTTTTTTTGCTGGGGGTGGTGGTGGTGGATTTTTGGGGGTTTGTTTGTTTGTTTGTTTTCCCTGAGACAGGGTTTCTGTGTAGCCCTGGTTGGCTTCAAACTCAGATGTTTACCTGCCTCTGCCTCCCAAGTGCTGAGAATAAAGACATACACAACTGCCCCACTGAGAAACCCTGTCTCAATAATAATTACTGATATTATTATTATTATTATTATTATTATTATTATTATTATTATTATTATTATAGAGCCAGGCATGATGATGGTGCAGGTCTCTCATCTTAGTACTAAGGAGGATTGCTTTGAGTTCATGTCTAATCTGGGCTACATAGTGAGACCCTGTCTCAAAAAAAGGGCTGTGTTGTACAGAGGTTTGGAAGTGTTTGCTAAATTGTAGATTGCACGCTTAGCAAACAGGAAGCCTTAGGTTTAATCCCAAGTACCTCACCTCTAGTCTAATAAAATGATTGTTAGAATAGAATGTCTGTCTGTCTCTTTGTTGTTGTTGCAATGCTGGGGATGGAACTTGGGGCCTCATACATGTTAGCTATTTCTCCAGTCCCTATGGAAAGCCTTCCCTAGTATTAAAAATAGAGCCCCTAGCCTTACACATAGTAGTAGGAAAGTAGTAGTATTAATCTATGTCCTTCAGACTTTTTACTTTTTATTTTAAGACAGTGTCTTGCAGTCTTCATGTCTTAGCCTTCTGAGTGTTGAGGTTACAGGTCTTAGCTGCTGGCCCAGCTAGAAAGTCTCAAAGTACGTACCCTTAGCCAGGCATGGTGGCTCACATTTTCAGCTCCAGCACTCAGGAGGCAAAACCATATCTGTGAGTTGCAAAGTGAGTTCCAAGCCAGCCAGAAGTACAGAATGAGAACCTGCATCAAATAACAAAATTTTAGGCCTGGTGGTGGTGGTGGTAGTAGTAGTAGTAGTGGTGGTGGTGCACACCTTTTAATCCCAGCACTCAGAGGCAAAGGCAGGCGGATCTCTGTGAGTTCGAGACCAGCCTGGTCTACAAGAGCTAGTTCCAGGACAGCCTCCAAAGCCACAGAGAAACCCTGTCTCAGAAAAATAAAAATGAAGAGGGAGAAAGAAAAAGATAATACCTTTTGGACAACAGTGGTGCACACCTTTAATTCCAGTACCTGAGAGGCAGAGGCAGGCGTATTTTTGAGAGTTCGAGGCCAGCCTGGTCTACAGAGCGGGTTCTAGGACAGTAAGGACTGTACAGATAAACCCTGTTTTGAACTCACCACTCCACCCCACCTACACACACACAAAGTACCTCCCATTCTACATTCTAAATGACAAAGACAGCCATATGTGAATGTCTGTCCTCCCTGTACTATGTATGTCCTGGCCTGTCTTACTAGCTCCAGGTTAAAGAAAGGAACCTAACAGGATTAAATCCTTTGTTTTGTTTGTTTGTGCTCTTCATTAACAGGGGAGCCCAAAGAAGTGTGAAGCTGGAGAGGCAGAGCCACCAGCTGCTACACAGCCTCAAACCTCAGAGACTCAGATCTCTCATCTCCCTGAATCAGAACGGATTCATCACACTGTGTAAGTAAAGCTCTAACAAGAACGACCAGTATGGGGTCATTCTTGACTCCCTAGGGCTTCCTTTTAAAATATGAAGGCAGAGTTTTAATGGACAGAGGCCAGATTTTAGTGTCACTGTGGTAGGGCCCCAACTCCCAGAACATTGAGGTAGTTTAGAAAATAGTGATCAGGGCATTTAAAAAAAAAAAAAAAAAAAAAAAAACCTGGGCTCTTTGAGCTGAACTAGGCAACTCCTTTAAACAGTAAAGCACCCGAGTGCTTACTGTGTAACCCTGAGTTCTGGTTAAGGCAGAGTAGGGAATCCTAAAGTGTTCTAGTCACATTCACCAGGCTCTTACATCTTACAGTTGCCCATGGCAAATTTGACAGCAGCTAAATGAAACTCTGTTGCCAAATAAATAAATAGGCACACAGAATGCTCAGGAGGATGAGACAGGAGAATTGCCGCAAGTTCAAGGTCAGACTGGTTGACATAGTGAGTTCCAGGCCGGTGCTGCATATCAAGCCTGTGTCTAGGCTGGGCATAATGGCACACGCCCTTAATCTCAGCTCTCAAGAGGCAGACATAGGCAGATTACTGATTTAGAAGTTAGTCTGGTCTATATAAGAAATTATAGACCAGCTAGGGTGACATAGAAAGACCTTGTCTCAAAAAATAAAAGAGAATGTCACACAAACCTGGGTATGGTGACTTAAGCAGAAACTGAGGCAGGAAGATCATGAGTTTAGGGCTAGCCTGGACTACATAGCAATACTCTGACTCATAAAACAAAGTAAAGCCAAAAAGAAGACTAGTTACATAGGAGCATGGCTTTCCCTGGTGCTCTAAGAACATGGTACAGCAGATAGGAGGCCTCTCAGGATACTTCATTCTTACAGATAATGTGAGCTTCTTAGTGCTTAAATTATAAAAGAAATATTTATATCTAATTAACTTTATAGTTGAATAGATACTCATTACTCTGAGCTTTGTATTTAAGATACTCATTACTCTGAGCTTTGTAAATTAAGTTATTGAAGCAAGACAGGTGTCCCATGTATACTGTAACCCCAGTGCTCTCCTACAATCCCAGTATTGGGGAGGCTGAGGCAGAACAATTGAAAGCTCAGGGCTAGCCTGGGATAAGTACCAAGACTCTGCCTCACAAAAAAAGCAAAGAAAAGAGGCATGGTGGAGCACACTCTGGAGGTAGAGGCAGGAGGATCAGATGTCATCCTTGGTTTCATAGTAAGTTTCAAGGCCAGCCTGCTATGGTGAGAAATCCTGTCTTTAAATATTTATTTATTTATTTATTTGCTCAGAATTCTTGGCTTCAACATCTTAAATTCTCATGAAAAATGAAGTATTAAAACAGTAAAATTGGTTAACTTTAAACTTCAGGAATTCTGGGTTGCTTTGGGAAATGTCCTATTGTTCATAGTTGTGTGTTTTTTTTAATTCTGCTACCAGTATTATCTCCCTATATATAATAGTCTGACACATTTATGAGAGCGTCCAACCATCTCTTAGCTCTAATTTGGAGGGTGATGGGCAAGCAGTATGATAATCTTATTCCCTGTGACTAATGATAGTTTTGTGCTCTACCTTTGTAGATTTGCTATATTTCTTGCTCATATTCTACTGCCATCTTGTGGCTTTTTTTTTTTTTTTTTTTTAATTCAGAAACCAGAAGAATGCTCCTTTTAAAAAGGGTTAGTTTTTCTGTTGTGAGACAGAGATTCATCATCCTTTGGGAAAGGGTTTTCTCCTAGGACCATAAAATGAAACTAAGGTATTATGAGCCCCAGTTTATACCATCTATGATAAAGTGGGGCAAAATCTTGCTTTGTCACTCACACAATGTGGTGTTTCCCATTCCATGAAAGTATAGCATGACCTTGCACACTGGCAATTTGAAAGTGGTTGTTCACATATTGAAGAACTGCTTACTGTGCGCTTTGAGAAGTAGTATCTGCAGAACTCCTTGCACACATTTAAATGGTTAGTCTGTAAGATTGTAGCAAGAGAGCTGGGTGGAGAGGCAGAGGCAGGCAGATCTCTGAGTTCGAGGCCAGCCTGGTCTACAGAGAGAGTTCCAGGACAGGCTCCAAAGCTACACAGAGAAACCCTGGCTTGAAAAACAAAACAAAGACTGTGACAAGAGAGGCTTTTTTTGTTGTTGTTATTGTTTGGAAATGCCTGGATTTCTGGATTTTTCCATTCATTTCCAGGGTGTGTGAAGCTTAGGGTTATATACAGAGTTTTTTCACTGCTAGAGATGATTTTGACCTTCATTTTATGGCTAAGATCATCCAGTTGTATTAATTCTGACAAGGTGATAGCTTGGGCAGATGAAACTGTCTATTGTCTTGATCTGTGGTAAGCAATCTGTTCAGCAACCTAACTAAAAGATGTGTTCACAGGCTGAAGCCCATACAACTGTGCCGACATAGAGTTTGGCAAATAAATTTTGTGGGTTTCCTATATTTCAGCTGATTGATTGACTGCACTCCTGATCTTAGTAGCCTGATCTAAAGCCCTTGCCAACTTAAAAAAGTGGGATCATTTAAAAATACGAGATAGCAAAGAACACTGGTGGCTTAACTCTTGGTTTTCCTCCTTTCTTCAACACCATAGGACTACAAAACAACAGTAAAGTGTTAGGCAAAGATTAGAATTTATTTCAAGGACCATTCTTAACTCCTGTTGGTGAAACCTGTTTTGATTCTGATTGTGAGGGAGGTGCTCTAAATGTCAGAAGTGACCCGGGTGTTGTGGTACACCCCTTTAATCCCAGCTTGAAGAAGCGGGAGAGAGGGGTGCCGGTGTTCCTCTGTGGATGTGAGTACAGCCTGATCTACATATAGAGTTCCAGGACATCCAGGGCTGTACAGTGAGACAGAATAGTGGTAGAGGAGTAATAGTGTCTTTTTTTTCCTGCTCAAGGCAAGGATTTGTGAGTCCTCAGTCCAAATTTGGTCAAGCTGTGTTCCAAAGTCTAGTCTTCTGCCTGAATTAGATATAACAAAAATCTCATACAGCAAAAAAAAAAAAGCTTTCCTTTTATATTTAAAAAAAAAAAAAAAAAAAGGAGAGGGCTAGAAAGGGGGAGAGAACAAGTGCTTGGTTGGTAAAATGCTTGCTGAATACATAAGAACTTGAGTTTGATCCCCAGTGTCTGCATGAAAAAGCTTGGTGGGCACGATGCACATGTGAGACACACCACATAAAAGTGAATCCATGCTCTACTTTCGAGAAAAACAGTGGAGGTACACACCTGCTATTCCAGATCTTGCATTGAAGGCCAGCCCTGGCTTATATACTGAGACCAAGTCTAAAGAGAAATTTTTTTTCGGGGGTGCAGTAAAAGGTAAAAAGGGTGGGTGCAGTTGTTCATGGGCAACAGTGAATTAATATATTGACCTTGTTCTAAATACCACCTTCTGTATACACAAACCTAGTCGACAGGAACAACCTTGGACTCTTGATGCTATGCTTATTTATTTTCTTGTGCCTTGAGAAAAGGAAGGACACACTTGAAACCAGTATAACTATAAACCTGATGCTCCTCAAGAGATTTACAATGCCAGTTGCCAAATGGTACATAATTTTAAACAAAAATAGCAATAATTTGTTACCAGAGTTTGCTTCCTGAGAAGTTTGTATATGAGGATAAACCTTCCAAATCAAACTGTCAGGTTTCACTATTTCTTACTAACTTTTCATATTGGGTCCTTAGCATCTTAGGATTTCCTATAATAACTAAAGTTTAAACATACATGCCTACAGAAATGGCCTTTTCCATTAGTTTCTCTTGGGTTGTTCATATTGTAATATGATGTTACTGTTTAAGTAGTTCTGTCCTTTCCTTCTGAGCTATGATGCTGTGCCCAGGCTTACTTGAATCCCTGTCTTCTCTCCCAGTACAACCTTACAGGTTAGAACTAACATAGGAGAAAGAAAGACGCCTTTTGTCTAAAAAAGGTGGGACTGTTTCAAGGATTCATTATTGTCTTCTGAAAATAGTGTCTTGGGAACTCTTGGGTCCCATAAAATTCATCAAAGGAAATAGAAGGGGCTGGAGAGGTTAAGAGCACTGGCTGCTCTTACAAAGGACACAGTTTCATCCTTAGCACCTACACGGTGGCTCGTAACCATCTGTAACTCCAGTTCAGGGTTTTCGGTGCCCCTTCTGACCTCTTTGGGCACCAGGCACACACAATGCACATACGTACATTCAGGCAAAACACTCGTACATAAAATGATGAGTCTGGTTTTCTTTCTTTTCTTTTTTTTTTCTTCTGAAACCTCCCATATACTCCCTTCCTTGCTCTCTTTCAAATTTGTGGCCTCTTCTTTCATGAATTGTTACATGCATTTATATATGTGTGGGGGAGTGGATAGGAAATAGCACAAATCTTAGTTGGGTGGTCCTTGAACTCAAAGAGGTCCACCTGCTCAGATTGAAGGCAGGTGCTACCAGCAACAGGCCTTGTTTGTGTTTTTGATACAAGGTTTCTCTGTGTCACAGTCCTGGCTGTCCTGGAATTGGATTTGTAGACCAAGCTGCCTTGAACTCACAGAGATCCTCCTACCCCTGCCTCCTGAAAGAGACCCTGTTGTAATGAATAATGTAGAAGAGGAGAATGATTCCCAATTAACCGCTTGCCTCCACATGCAGGTTCACACAGGTACATACCTAACATATGTGGGACCCACCCCTCACACATACATGAAGAAACAAAGAGAAAAAAAATCATCAAATGTTCATGAAGTATCCACTTGTTACCTATCATGACACTGTAATTAAGAAGTGCTTACTGCCGGGCTGTGGTGACCAATGCCTTTAGTCCCAGCACTTGGGAAGCTGAGGCAGTTGGATCTCTGAGTTCCAGACCAGCCTGGTCTACAAGAGCTAGTTCCAGGACAGCCTCCAAAGCCACAGAGAAACCAGGGGGTGGGGGGTGGGAGTACTTACATGGGTATTTGTGTTAGGCACTGAGCTAGGGACCAAAGCACACCATCAGTACCCCTGAGGAACTTTGTAGGTAGAGATGGGTGGTGGGTAACCTAATGGTTATTTATTATTCAGAGTGATAAGGGCATTGTCAAAACCTGTCATCCCTATCACTGAATGTTTTAGCGTCAGAGAAAGTCTGTCTACCCTTTGAGTTTATAACAAAAAAGCGTCAGGCGTGGCACCTGCAGTGACCCTGCTGCCTACCTGGTTTCTTAGGTACTCTTAGCTAGATTTGCAGCAGCATTCAAGCCAGATGCCACAGAGCTAGCTCACACTGCCCCTGAGGTGGGTGTTATAACTAGCAACACTTACAGAAAGTCGGCCACTATCACACAGTTTATAAAAGCTGAGGCCAGTCTGATTCCTGGGTTCACTTTTTTTACACCCCCCCACACACACACACACACACAGACAGGGATCACTATGTAAAAGAGAACTTTTTGTTTGGTTGTTTTTGTTTTTTTGTTTTTTCGAGACAGGGTTTCTCTGTGTAGCTTTGGAGCCTATCCTGGCACTCACTCTGGAGACCAGGCTGGCCTCGAACTCACAGAGATCCGCCTGCCTCTGCCTCCAGAGTGCTGGGATTAAAGGAGTGCGCCACCAACGTCCAGCTGTAAAAGAAAACTTTTAAAAATATACACAAGCATCACTTTAGCATGCTGTTTTTGTTTTTTGTTTGTTTTGGCATGTAGGTTTAGAATTTTAAACAGCAGAGAGAAAATTTCATTCCTCTCTAAAACTTCTGAACAAAATAAAATATTGAGGTTGGGTGTGGCAGCACACACCTTTAACCCCAGCACTCTGGAGTCAGAAGCAGGCTGATGATCTCAGAGTTCAAGGCTAGCCTGGCCCCTACACGCAGAGCCCTTTCCTCAAGAGAGTGAGCTTGCAAACAAATTCTTAGAAGCTTGTCTGGTGTTAGATTTCTGTTTGTTGTTAGGGAAAGGAGTTGAGTACATTCCAATAGGCTTGTTGAGTCTCTTCAGTGTTTTGCTATTACTGGGGTTATTTTGCATTTTTGTTTGTTGTTATTTTGTGATTGGCTGATCTCAAACCTGTAACAATCCTCCTGCCCCAGTCTCTCAAGTACTGGGGTTGTAGGATGTTTGGTAGGAATGCATCTTTTGTTCCAGTCTGCTTCCGACTTCATATTTAATCTAGTGAAGATGCCCATAATTACTGGTTTTTGCTTGTCTCCTAATTTCATTGTGTTTAGCTAATCTCATCCTCCCTTGCCCCAAGTGACACCTCTCACCTCCATGTCTTGTTTGCTTTGGAGCCTTCAGGCTTTATCTGTGCAAGGCCTTCTGGCCTTTTCCTTACTAGCTTTAGGCAGCCCCTGGCTGATTGGCCTTGTTAAATAAAGGTTGGGAACCTCACCTGTTACCCCTCCAGAGACACCAACCTTTTCTCCTTTGGAGAAAGCACTCTCCCAGGGTTATCCCCTTCCCTCCACCATTGGAAACAGACAGGCCATCGCCAGGGGTGAGCAGCAAGGGAGGTCTCCTGGGTTGGAGAGTGATGGACACATAAAAAAGATTGTGTCTCAATGTTCCCGGGTAGAATAGAACTGTGGTCATCTTTGAAATTCTTTCCACTTTGGCCTTATCTTTTTTTCTTTGAATCATTTCTCATTTCCAACTCTGCTGTTTCACTTCACTTACCTTCCAGTCGGGCAGCTGTAACTTATGTTCTCCCCACCTGGTCCCTTTTTTGCCCTCTGGGAAGACTGGGAGAAAGCACCCTGGCCCTGTAGCATTAGACCTCTCTCTGTAGCTGTTGTAACCTGAGAAAAGAAGGGAAAAGGCCCAGCTTCTGGAGCCAGTTGACTCCCTGTGGCCTGCCAGAGGATAAGAACCTTGCTCGCTCAGCTCCCTCCCTCTTTCCCCTCCCCTGCTGCATCAGGGCCCTCCCCCATCCGCACACACGGGCTGCTGGGTAAGTGGCAAGATGGCTCCCCTGCATGTCTCCGGCTGATCGCTGCCGCTTCGCCAATACAATAGAGCCAGCTACTACCAGCAGCCTGGCCCTCTTCCTCCAGAGAGACCAATCCAGCCGAACTCGGGGTTTGCCGTGAGGACTTAAACGCTTATCTCTTAGAAGCCAGATCTATTTTAGCCTCCCCGCTCCACCACCACCTCCCCTTCCATTTACCATTTTTTTTGGATCCCCAGTTGCTGCATCTTGATTTTCTCTCTCTGGATCGGGTGGCTGGGAGGAGGTGGTGGGATCTGGGGGCAAAGAAGGTGGTTTGTTTGGTTTGGGGTTTTGTTTTTTTGTTTTAATTTTTTTAGGATTTTTTGTTAGGTTTTTGTTATTTCTTCCATTCCAGAAAGGGATAAACAGCACTTCCAGGGGGAGAAAAAAAATCATGTTATCAGACAGCAAAGAAGGGTGAGAGCTTCACATTTCCATGTGTCCCTTTCCCCACCTCTAGCCCGCCTGTCGTCCTTAGCTTCCTCATGGCTTTCACTGTCTTTCATTTTGATCTGTTTTCAGGCATTCCGCTTTCTCCCTTTGTCCTTCCTGCTCGATTTCTAATTGGCCCAGTTGCCCTCTCTGAGAAATAGGTCGTTTGTTTTGGTTTGGTTTTTGATAAGCCTTTCTTCAAGGTTTAAGCAGACAAATCACGTGCTTCTGTGGGGGCCTGTTAGCTGGGGGTCCAATCCTGACTTCCCCATCCCCCCCCCTCAGTTTTGCATCTTTCCCTGCCTACCCCAGGGAGGCTTTTCTGACCCCTTGTGTGTAGACAGCCTGTTGGGAATGGTGAATTTCCCAGTACTAGTTACTGGCCTGGGGAGACTTGGTTTCCCACCTCTGTCACTTGGGCCCCCTGACCATCTTGATTTGATTTTTTTTAACCTAGTATGGGGAGGGGTTAGAAGTTAGGGAAGACGACAGAAAGGTAGGAGGATATTTAATGGAATCTCTGGATTTCTTTGTCTGAAGTGGGTGCTAACTTGTGTGAGGGTGGGCTCCGTGTTTGGGGGAGTTGGGTGGTGGTGGGGTATGTTCTGACTTGGGAGGAGTGTTCTCTTTATCTCTTGGAAGTGGGGGAGTGGAAAAGACGGGGCAAGAGTCAAATGTAAGAGCAGTTTACTGTGAGCGGGGAAGTGGCCTGACTCTTCCAGCTTTCATACTTCTTCAGTTTACTGTGAGCGGGAAGTGGCCTGACTCTTCCAGCTTTCATACTTCTTCAGCAGTTTAGGTGCCCTAGGATGAGACAAGTAGGAGTACTTACCAATCTTGTGTGATCTCCTGCAGCCCCTCACCCCCTCTCTTCCTGGTGTCTCTAGATTGTGTATTAAGCAGTTGATTAATAAACAGGGCAGAACATTTGCTACGGTGAAAACAATTGTGCCAGCCTCTTTTTTTTTTTTTTTTTTTTTTTTTTTTTTTTTTTTTAATGAAGGCATCAGACTTCCTTTAGATTCTTGTGTAAAGTAAAGGTGCCTGTGACCCAGGGGATAGGGAGGCTGAAGGCTGATGGATAAATCAAGGTCGCTTTTGAAGGACTTTTTAGAGGAGGATGTTTGTTTCCTGCAAGAGAACTGTGAAATTAGTACTTAAGAACTCTGTGGGTTCTGGGTGCCCACATGGGGAGAGCAGATGTCCTATCTGTGTACTAGGTGGCCTGGACCACTGTAATCCTTGCTTTTTCCCCCAAGGAAAACATTACCACTTCCCTTTGGTGGCAGAGTTCTAGTCTAATGTAAAAGGCAGCTATTACAATCCCACCCAAGTGAGGAGACATTGAGATTTTTATGGCCCCAAACCTAACATCTTACCCTCTCTTCCCCTTCATTCTCCTGCCCTCTTCCACCTCTTCCATCCTGTCAGTGAAGAGAAGGAGGAAGTGACCATGGACACAACTGAAAACAGACCAGAAAACGAGGTTCCAGAGCCTCCTGTGCCTACTGCAGACCAAGTCAGCAATGATGACCGCCCAGAGGGCAGTGCTGAAGAAGAGGAGAAGAAAGAGGTAACTAGCCAAGCCACCTGTTGGGGTGGGTGGCAGAAGATGGGCCTAGGGAGAATAGACCGTCTAGTGATCCCTCTTACACAGTGGGATGAATTAAGAGGGGACAAGGCAGGGCCTTGGATCCGGATAGGGCCAAGGAAGAGTTCGCTGGTTTAGCAAGGGATACCCCTTGTGATGGGGACAGGGCTGCTTGATTTTCTTTCCCTAAGTGGGAAGTAGAGCAGACCAGACTCCTAATTTGGAAGTCTGTTAATGGCCCTTTTTCTAAAGCCCAAGCACAGCTAGCTTTTCCTGCTGCTGAAGCTTATGTGAAACTCCTTGAGCTTTCCCTCCCTTTTAAAGGCTTGATGGCACTCAACGCCACCTAGTGGGCTTTGGTGGCTCTTACCAGATCAACCATGCTGAGGAATTTTTGTTGCTCTTCTGCCCCCCAGTGGTCTCATCACAGAGATACGCTTCCTATAAGCCAGCACTGAGATGGCCCAGAAGGACCCTCTGTCTCTTTTTTTGACGTGTATATTACCTTTTCCTGTACCCAATTCAAGAGGCTTCCCCCTTTGGAGCCAGCGAAGTCTTCTTAGTCGTAAAGAAATAGAATTAGCTGGGTTTGGGAGTGGTATTATTACAGGGTGGGAGGGGCTGTTGTGTGTGTAGCCTTTCTCTGGTGTGTGTTGCGGGGGTGGGGGCCGGTGAAAGTGATTTGATGTGCAGAATATTATTTATTACAAGGTCCTTCTTCCCCGTAAAACTTTGTCCAAGTACCTCATGTACGGTAATCCGCCCGTAAAATATAACCCTGCCCAACTGGCCAATCGCTGATGCCGCCTCCACCTCTGGACCCACCCGCTGCTACTGAGCCGCCCAATCAGAGCCGAGTCTGCTATCCAGGTGTCTTGGCCAGAGGGGGCATGTGTATGGGCTCCTGTGATGGCCCCCTTTTGCCTCCCTGTTTTGCTTACATCAGGGGGCTAAGAAGAGCACTGTTCTGGAGAGACTCGTATTGAGAAAACAAAAGGCATTTGGAAAGGGGTGGACTTGAATTCATCTCCCTACTTGGGACACCCCAAGAAGAGTTTGTGACAGTGCTGGGGCGCCTGCCCACATGCTCTTGCGTATCAAAGACTGTGGGTTACTTTGTTTGCTACAGACTGCTGGGATCCCCACTTAGGGACCAAGAAACCTAAGAGAGTCAGTGTTTGTGATCACAGTGCCATGCTGTAAACGCTGAGTGGGACCCATGGCTTAAGCTGTGCCAACTAGGAAACCTGCAGAGAAGTCTAGGGTCTGTACCCCAGGGCTTTAAAGCTGATGACAGCCCAGCCCATGTGTCACCACTTGCTCATCAAATGGACTTTCTTTTGGTCCCTGTTGGTTGCTCCAACTTCTCCTCCATCCCTGGAGGCAGGGGCTTACTCATCCACCTGACTGGAACCACTGTCTCAGCTGGAGTCCCTGAGGAGATGTTAACCACAACCCAGAAGACAAACACACATTCTGATCTTGCTGCCGAATGTGTACCGGGTCCTGGGGAAGCTCATCTACTACTACTGCCCAGGCCACCTTCATCAGAGGCTCCATGATCCTCCTCGGTGAAAGGACCCCTCCCCAGTTACATTCCGAGGAGGAAGGGACTTTGGAGTTATCACCTGGATTCCAAGTATTGGGTGGTGGTATTGCTGCAGCTTGCCACTGGTGGACTAGGGTCCTGCCTGCCTCAAAAGGCAAGGAGCGTTCCTGCTACTCACAGGCCATCTCATCAGGGACTGCAAGATGATGCCCTACAGGGCCAGGACGGATGTTCTGCCCCCACCCCCCCCTCTGCCCCTCGCTGAGGCTGGCCATCGCCAGTGAACTGTCTTGACATCTTGGAAACTGGGC